CACATATTCATAAATATTCATAATGTGTTAAAATATAGATTTTCTATGTTATTAATAATATAATTTAAATTCCGATAATATATATTTTTGGAATTGCATGATCTGTATTAGAACATGAGAATTATGATATAAATTGATTTCTACTGGTTTTAGGATCCATGTTAAATAGTATTTTAAAATTTAACCGGTTACTAATTAAAATTTTGTCTCTGTTCTGGATTTCATTTGTCTTATCCTGCAGGTTTCTTTTCCTTTCTGATTGGAGGTTTCTTGGGCTTCTATCAAGTCTCCTTATGTTATCGTATTGATCTCTTCTATTCTGCTTTTACCGGTATAGTTTTTGCGTTGCTCTTTGTCTCTACTCAGCATATCAATTCAGGATTTGAACGTTTTTTTGGCTACTATCGAAGCGTCTTAATTGTCGTTTTGATAACCTTGTCTCTAGAAGACTCTTTGTTGCACAAAGTGTGTTGTTGTCTTGCTGGAGTATGTTGGCCATGTTATTTAATCGGAGGGGTAGATATTATTCACTATGGGAGGTTCATATTACCATGGTTTGGTCTTTTTTTAGGCTTCTTCGATATGTTCTTGTCCAGATTCCTCTGGAAATGGCTTGTAGGGTTTGGCATTATGTTTTGGTTTTAAGTAAGGTTTTTCCTTGCCTTGTTTGCGGGTTTGTGCTCTTGCGGTTTTTATATTTTCCTTGTTCTTGTTGATCTTTGTTTCAGGGGTTATTTTTTAAACCACCAGCTTTTGTATCTTTCAAAGATTAATATTATATCTCAAATGACAAAAGGTCACTTAAACCTTACATTTTGAAGTGTTAAAAAAATTTACAAGTGCATGGAACATCCAAAAATACTTATAAGTCGATCATACATTATTTTTTCCATATCTTTGGTATTGGATCATCTAAGTCATGTGTTATGGATTCCCAATGAAAGTGGTCTCTTGTGACCATTTAAATCTTGGTCTTATTTGAATACGCTAAAACCAAATCGGGCACTCGTGATCTTTTGCATTTCTTCTTTGCATCACTTGCTTCTTAACCATCAGGAGGCAAGTCATTTAGCAACTCATCTGCAATTAACTTCTTGATATCATCTAAGATCTCTAGTAATTAGTAAACATTTTGGAATTGTTGCTTCATATCTTACAACACTCTTTAAGCCTTTAATCACCAGTGTGCAAAAACATTTAGTTTCTTTAATGACGCCATCAATCTCTTTTTTGCATGGTATCATGACCAAGAAATTAGATTTCTTTCACCCAAAATTTTGTTCAAATTGAAAAAAAGAGCCATAGCAATCTTCTGTGTGCCTCATGTAATCATCACGTTATCTTTCCTTCGATATGTGATATCATTATCATGCTGCCAATGATAGCTTAGTAAGATATGGCAACATTCTTATAAAAAAAATTACAAAATATCTCTTCTCTATGGTGCTTTCCAATAGAGATAAAAAAAACTATGTAAGTCAATGTTACTCGAACTTGAGAGCCCATGCTATTGAATGCATAGCATATGGTTTTCTTATGTGGGTAACTTATATGAAAAAAAAATGTTTATGTGTTGCCTACTTTGTGAGTCAATGTTACCGAACTTGAGAGCCCTGGCCCTACCTAGAGCATAAGGGTTTTTCATGTTGTTTTGTGACTAACTTCGGATAATCAACTAATTAACTTATATATGTGAAACTAAGGTTTTTGTGCTGCCATTATCCACAATCAAGTTACACTTTTTTGTTAATAGAACAATGTGTTCGAAATTGACTCTTATGTTGCCCTTCTTCTTTTGATGATAACAAGATTCATTATTCTTCTTCTTCCAATAATTTGATAACATTAGTCAATAAATGGACTTGCATCAGTACTATTACCAACTTATTTGTTCCTAGGGTTAAAATTTTTGGTCACTGCACAGTCTGCACTCTTCACTTTATCTCTGACTAATTAAAGATCACTTTGAAGTGCAAATCTCCCAAACGATGAAATGCTACATGGAAAATTTCCAGTTAGACTCGAAGCCTCTTAAACGGTCCACACAATTTGTGATAATCATATTTTTTTTATCACTTTTAGTCTCATAATTTTATTTATTTTCTTGTGTTTATTTTGCTTTTCAAGATGTTTTTATTACATTTAGAGTCTAAATGAGTTTTGTTGCATTTTAAGAATGCTAAATTATCTTCGTTCCTCTTTTTGGTCTTTTTTTCAATTAGGTACTTCGGAGTATTTGGATTGAAAGAGATGTATAGAGATTCAAAGAAGATGGTGAACACACTCTTGTCCATGAAGAGTCAAGAGATGCGACTCAATGATCATGTTGGATGAAGGTTTATCGTTGGTGTGTCAAGCTCAAATTTGATCATAAGATGCGAAAGTGTTAGCTTTCATTTGACACTAGACTGAAGCCATTTTGTTTGGAATTTACATTCAATTTAGTGATTGCATATCATTTTAGCCCAATAAATTATCTTCATTTGACTCAGAGTTGACCAGTTGACCCAGTGTTGACCAAACTTGATCCAGTGTGGACCAAACTCGTCCCCAGTTCACGACACAGTCCGCAATTTTGCTCTAGAAACCCTCAATTTACCTAATTTTTGTTACTTAAGAGTTTTGAAGCCAATCGAAACCGCCTATGGGTGTTCACTTAGAGCAAAATATCATTAATTATGAGGTTGAAGCCAATAGAAAAATTATGGAATAAATCTGTCTAGGAACACGAATTAGGCCTTATTCTACTTGCTCTTTATAAACTCTTTGTACAAAGTTAAATTTAAGATTCTGAGATTCGTTAGGTTAGCTTAGCTAGCTAGATCACAAAAGTGGGTAGTTAGCTCAATTATGAATAGAGCAATATACAATTCTTGTCCTTATAACATTTCCCATAATACTCTAATTATTTCCAAATGCGGTTACACTTAATTCCTAGAACGCGAAAACATCTATCCCCTTTTTTCTCCTCTATATTTAGGATTTATCTTAGTTTATAATTAGTTTAGCTTAAATACCGTTATACCACCTTTGTTTAGGCTTATCTCATTGTAGATATAGCCCAAGCTGTAGTGTTTGATAAATCTTTCCTTGGAATCGATCCCTAAGTACTTCATTGACATAACCTTGCATTTGCGTTCACTTATGGCTTTATAAATTTAAAGCTTATGAACCGATTTATGGCCTCTCTCATTATAGGAAGTGAAATTGGGACGTATAAATTTGTTAACCCAATTTCTCGTGCATAGAACTCTTTAAACCACTAATGTACCTTGCCACTTCTGAAATTATGTATATCGTAGATCATTGCGTTCAGGCATAAATCCAACCGTGAACTTTGTCACAGTCATTTTCCTTGAATATTTTCAATTTACATCTTACATAAAATTTGCTCAGAGCTTCCTATAAGAACATTTCCATCCTGAACTATTACATTCGCCTCCATATTATAATTGGCTTCTTTCTTTGTCTTTGCTTTTGAAGAACAAGTTTATTGCCCACCTGTCAGTAATACTCTTCAACCTGATTGCCACCAACTTAACTTGTTTGTTTTCAAGGTCATATTGTTTTTCACTTGCTTTTCTTCAAATCCTACTTTGTAGAAGAACAGTCTGATTCTGACTTTAATGTTTCACGGGTAGCAAGTTTATGCATTAATAGTTAATACTTTCCTTACAAGGCTAGCAAATTAAAAATTGCATGTGACTGTGAGTATCCATTCTTAGCTCTTTGTTTGCAATTTTACCTCACATTCTGCAATAGTTTATGTCATAATTTTGAATATTTCGTATATAAGTACATAATAGTCACTCCAACGTCAATTTTTTTTAGTCTTGTGTACGAATCTGTTAGGGAAAGTACAAAAACAATAAACTCTATTTTCTCGAAACATAAATATCCTTATTTATATGCGTTACAAGATCTAAAAAACACTTATAATGAAACAGAGGTAGTAAAAATTGTGCTTCACCCGATAGAGCCAGACCCGATAAAAATAACCGTCTCTGGGAAAAGAACACACACATAGATTGGGCCAAACTGATTTCTAGGTATCTGAGGTGAAACGGGCGCTTTCAAAAATTTTGTTTGCGTTATTTGCATCAAAGTCGTCGCGTCTGTGGTACTCTTTAATCTGCAATTTGCAAGGATATATATATTGTGAATAAAATGGACAAACTTATGCATTTATGATGAATAAAGGAAGAGTTAAAATGTAGAACCTGGTGATGAGGCAGATCTTTGAATTGTGGGAGAACCAGGCGTTGAGTGAACTCAATGTAAGAAGCCGGGGTTGTTTCAGTTACTCCATCTGCAAATTCAACCGCAAGTTTCTCCGATATCGATGACATTTGTATTAGTAGACCATCTTGACTCACTGAAATATATTTATTCACATTCATTCCAACTAAAGAACGAATAAAGAATGACAACATTTCAATGAAAAATCTCATGATGAAAAGAAACCTTTGAGGATTCCTCCATCACTGTTGAGTTTGAATCCCTTTTCTTCAAGATACACTTTTATGCATCCAATGTCACTAAAACGGTGTTTGAATCGATGAACCGCAAAAGCGAGATGGTTCATTGTGTAGCCGTGGATAAGTACCCATGCCCCATATTCGCTTTCTCTACAGTGGTCACAACAATTAAGTTTTTACAAACCAACAAATTTATCAATCAAAGACGTATGACTAGAGAGTTATTATATACTTGGCAAGTTGATAGAAGTCGGCGTATGTTGGCTTTTCCCAAATTAAAGACCCCAAAGCACTTGAAAGAACCGCTTGCTTACCACCTTCTGGTATCAAATACTTTCTTATTATCTCCTATTTAACCATTGATTAGGACAAACAAAAAAGAAATTAGATATGTTAAGTACTAATAATAACACTAATGTTTTTGCGATAATATATTCGTACTTGTGATTCAGGGCTTAGTTCGTCCACACGAAGCTCAGATATGACAACTCGTGGCAAAGGGCCGTTGCCTAGACCGTGACCACCTTCGGGGACATGAACATCCGGAGGAGAAAGCCAACAACCTCTTACTTTCTTCTTTGGAAAATCAATTCCAGTTTCAAATTTATATCCGTAATCCATGAAGAAACTCGACACGGAATCAATTCCGTAACCATCGACCTATCCCATACCCAAAATAAAATAAAAAACAGCTCACACAATAATTTCAAGAAATTTCATCCATTTCACTTATTAATTATTAGTAGTTTAGTACATTTTTCTTTTGATTATAGCGGTTAA